CAGCAGGACATAGCGTTCTCTGCTAACTGTAGCGCCTGTTTCTGATTCACTAATGTGCTTTTCTGTCCCCAGGTACTACCGTGGGGCTGTTGGGGCTTTGTTGGTGTATGATATTGCCAAGCACCTTACGTACGAAAATGTGGAACGATGGTTGAAAGAACTGCGAGACCATGCTGACAGCAACATCGTCATTATGCTTGTGGGGAACAAGAGCGACTTGCGTCACCTGAGAGCAGTCCCAACGGATGAGGCTAGAGCTTTTGCAGGTTAGTTGATGAAAACTCCCTGTGGATTTGATGGCCTTTGTCTTTCATGTTGCCTTTCTATAAATAGAGCTTTCGGGAACGAAGCAGAGCTGCTGTTTCCCTTAAGTTCACTGAACTCCTCCCTGCCTCGGTACACAGAAGTGCTCATGTTGCTTTTAAGTTGAAAAGCCATCACGTTAACCCTGCTACCAGTCCATGGTTCAGCCAGAGAGTTTTGAGCAATCAGCATATCAGTGTGAGTCCAGATGCAGAATCTCTTGTATCCCCGAGCTCCAAAGCTCATGGAAGGTGGCGATGCCATGTAATGCTAGATCCTGGGTCCCTTGTGTAATAGCACTGCTGTTGGCCTTCCTGTGGCTTTACTGCTACAGACACAGCATTGAAGAAGGAAATAGGTGGACATGAGCTGTTTGCCTAATGATTTATTTAAAGCCACCCAGCTTATACCATAGTTTAGCTGGGGAGGCCTATTGATTAAATGAGAGCTATCCCTCAGTCGAGTATAATTTAGTTCAGATGACAAAAGAGGACTCCAGCAATTACTGTAATCGTCATAAATTAAAGTAAGCTCAGCTCCTTCCACGCTTGAATGTGGCTTTGGGTTCCTTGTATGAATAAGAATTCCTAACTTGGGCTGCCTGCGTGTGTGGCTGAATGAGAACTTGTGTCTGCACTTGGATATCGGAGAAACAGGATTTTTGAGGGCTCAGATACCTCTTCCTCTCCAACACGGGTAGAGGTATCAAACGAATGTCAGAGGGGCAGCATCGAGATCTCTCCCTTTCATTTTATGTTCATGATTGTCGAGACAGGACTGGAAGAAATGCAGCTAGTTTTAAAAAAAAAAGCTAAAGTCAGATCCTTTACCTCCCCTATCTCATTCCCTAGCAGCCTAGTGCTGAGGTGTTGCTTTGTCACCTGATGTTAGTCTGGGTACGGAGGAGGCAAGGTACTGTGTACCTGACCCTGGAACAGTTCCCTTTTCTCAGGCTGCCTGAGCCACCTTCTAGCAGTCAGTGCTGCTTCTGAGGCCTCCTAAGTCATGGTGCAGTGCTGCTGTGGGGGAGAGTTTTAGACATGGCAGGGGTGGAAGTACAGAACTGCATGAGAAAATTCAGAACACTTCTAATCTCTACTCTGTGAAAGCGTCAAAGTCTCTTTAGGGCTCTCACATGGCTTTTTAATGAAACCAGGTGCCTAAAACCTAAAGGTCTTAGCGTAAAGGTCATTGCTGGTATTGGTTAGTTTTTCCCCCGGGCAGGAGGAAGACACGGAGGGGCCTGAAGTTTTTACAACTATGTTCTATCAGTATGCACTTTTCCACATGAGCTGCAGCAGATCCACTCTTTGGCCTAAACAGACAGCAAGGTAGGGAACAAGAACACAGCTGTCGTCCTTCAACTTACATTGTCTCTCTGATCATGCAGAAAAGAATGGCTTGTCCTTTATTGAGACATCTGCTTTGGACTCAACAAATGTGGAGGCTGCTTTCCAGACCATTCTGACAGGTGAGCCCTTGAGTGCTTGGGATGGGGGGAGGGGAGACTCCATCCTGTCCGCGCCTTTGAATAACACAGCTCTTTCTACGCATGGAAATTAAGGGCTAGATACTTCAAGCTTGGGAGATTCAGATCCAGTTGGCAGTTTGGCACTCACTGACAGCACTCTCTCTCTCCCCCTTTTGTAAAAATGAGGGAAACGCATTGTTTTCCCATTTCATGTAGGATGGGGGGCGTTAATAACATGGATCTTGAAATGGTTAAGGTTCTCAGTGGTGCTGGGGGCTGGAAAATGCATCTTGGAAGGTGCCTCTCTCTGTAGCATAGGGGAGAGCCCCACAAATATCCCAGCTGGGGCCAGGGCAGGAAGCAGCATAGGTGCTTTGGTCTGGCACGTCACCCAAGCTGATTAGCCTAAGTCAATTAAGTGTACTCCTGTAGGAGTTTGCTTCCATTCTAAAAACACGCTTGTCCATATTATTCAGTCTTCTCCCCTCCTATAACACTGTTTTATGTTTAAATGTTCTCTTACCTTGAAAATTGCATTGTATGGGCCAGAGAATTGAATATGGGCAGGGTCTGTAGAAACTCACCGGGCAGGAGACCACTGTCAGCAGCTATATTAGAATGAGCGTATGGAGGAGGAGGCACCTCATGCCATCTTCCTACATTCATGGTTTATCTTGGAGATTTGCTACGAGGCAGGGCCACGACTTGCTGAAACTGGCTTTGCTTGCATTTAAATCTGTTGCATGCAAGAGGAGCAGTCCTTGGGGTAATGGGCCACCTAGGATTCAGGACAAACAGAGGGTACCTTGGGGACTTCCTTACCCATGGGTGATGCATGCCGATCTGGTCCAGCTTATTGAAGACGATAGCACTTGGGCAATCATGAACAGAATGGTTTCCCATGTACTAAAACACTTACTGTTGTAAAGGATTATTTTCTCTCGCATTGCACGAGGTTGGTTTTGAAGTACTTTATCAATGCCAACTTTCTCACCACTTGGGTTGGGTGGATTAGTTGTTAGTGTTGTAGCGATGAGACCATCCTCTATCCTGGTCTCCTTGTATTCTCTGTCTGTAGCCGTCTTCCTTCTTTTCAAATGATGACACTTTTGGAACAGAGACTACTTTTGTTCTGTTTGTACAGAGGTGTATCCTGTTGTGTGGCTGGGGTGCAGATAATGAACTGTACCCATTTTGCAGACGGGTAACCTGAGGCATGGGGACATTAACTTCCCCCATGTTCACACTGATGTTTAGTGACAGAGCTGGGACTTGACCTTAGGGGTCCTGACTCCCATTTTGTGCGCTAGCCACTATTTATGGTCCTTCCTAATAACAACAAAAAAAAAAAAGGCAGACTTATGTTCCTTATCTCCTTGCTGAGTAACTGCTTCGGCTTGGGATGTAGCGTGGGCAGTGACTGAATGGTAACAGGCAGATAGTATCAAAAAACCTGCTGGCTGGATTTCCTGTTTTCCTTATCTCCTGGGAAGGGCTGAGTCTGTGAGCAGGAAGGTGCTGGGAGAAGCACTTCCTGGCTGCCCTCTCCAGGCTCTAGCTGCTCCGAATTAGCCAGTGCGCTCTGGTATTAGCTGCTCCTGGGCCCTTTTCAGAGCTCCTTCAGTCCCCAGCTCTGCTGTTGGGCGGTGCAAGGACTCTAGCCACGCTGACCAGGCTAGCGCTGGTACTTCAAGAAAATGAATCGGGCAGTCCACCGGCTAGAACGGCACATCAGCTCTTTCTGAAGCTAGTCAGCAAATTGCCCTTAGTTCATTGCTGCACGGTGCTGTTCCCCAATGGATTTGGCTGCAGAGGAGACAGGACTTGATTCACACCAGGCTGCTCTCTTCCATCCATAGAGCTAAGCGACACTCAGACTAATATACTGCTGTTGCCATGGGGAAGCAATTTACCTCTCAGCACTGGCTGGATGAGTGGAGGCTGTTTTGTAGCAGCCTAAATGATCTCGCTACCATGCCCGGGAGAGCACTTTTTGATTCCCAAGGTGATTTTGGATTCTGATTAGGGGGAATCTGGGTCTATTGCTTGTTCCCTGACAATGGACTATGCAGCAAGCAGGAAAATCAAGCGATTGGACCACTGCCCTTCCTGACACCTGGCACGTGGCTGGGACTCGGGCTTGTCTGCGAGGTGTCACTCCCTGCGTGTCACTGTGACACGTTAGCTAAGCAGCTCTTGAGCCTGCAGGCCGTGCTCCTGTTCGGGAGCGGGCGGCTGTGTTGGAGGGAAGGCTGCTGCCTATTGGAGGGCACGTGGCTTGCTCCAGATGTGGGCTCCTGTTTCAGGGAGATAAAAACGGCAGTAAATAATGCTACGCTGGCAAGCTGCCTCCATCCATACTGCTGCCGATACGTGAAGGGCTGGGGGACATCTCGATAGCACTCCCTACAACTGTCTTGCTTTAGCCAAAAGCTACTGATGATTTTCAGAGCCACCTCAGGCAGGCAGTTCCAGCTGGTGCTGCAGCCTGATGAAAGTTCAGCCTAATGCCTGTTTTTTCAAAGGGAACCTCCAGGAACAGCTGTTTGGAGGGTGGAAATGCTTCCCCCCCGCCACCATAAGGCAAGTGAGATGAAGCCGTAGGCTAATAAGCGAGCACAAGAAGGGGCAGTTGGTCTTGGTTCGGTGATGCCAGGGTTAGCTGCATTGTGGACGGGTCAGGGGTTAGTGGCTGCTGTTGGCATTAGTCACCTGATGTGAAAGACTTGCGGTGAGCGGTGTTGTGTGCCGTGGTGTCTGAAAGTACTGCTGGCGATTAGTAATGGGACTCTGACCAGTGCTTGCCCAGCTGGAGTGGAACTGGGCCTGGCTGTAGTAGCACAGCTTGAAGTGAGTGATTCCCACCCCCTCCCCACTCCCATCCGTGGGGGCGACTGGGGAAGGACCCGTGAAATCCTGTCCTGGCTCGTCAGCACCTGCCTAGAACTTCAGCTCATCCCCAGCCTCTTCCAGGCCAGTTTCCCCAGCAGTTTTGGAGCTCAGGAAGGCCAGGTCTCCTGCTGCCATGACAGTTCATCCAAGCGTGCTGTCAGAGCTGTGGGTGGGGAACACCCTTTCCTCCACCTGCTGAGGGGCTCGTGAGCTGGGCAGGAGCTTGTACATGGGGTGCACCAGCTCCCAGGGATCCAGGGGAAGGTTCTGGCCTGTCCCCAGCTGGGGACAGTGCTCATCTACCTGGTGCAGCCTGACCATAAACTCACCTGGTCCCAGCGGCTCCTTCTGTAGCTGGGCTGGGAGCGTCGCAGCTCTGAATTCCCAGCTCGCTGCTTTTTGAACAGTTGCCTGTTGATGAGCCACAAGCCTGCCTCCCTGCATTTGCCAGGCAGGCTAGTCGGCAGTCACATGGCTGTGTGCAGCTGGCCTCTTTATCCTGCCAGAGAATAGAGTCCAACTTGTCTGTATTTGGCAACTGCATTTGGAGGGCTTGTTTTGAAACCCTTGCCTCTTCTCCCAGCCTAGCTTGTTGTGAGCTGCCATAGTTCCTTGATGCCAGCTGCCCGTTCACTGTAGAAGCAGATACAAAGCGGCATTACTGGCTTATCTGCGAGAGGTTGCTCAACTTCCCTGTGTTGAAATGATGATGTCTGTCTGCGCACTGAGCCACTTCTTGTGAAAGGTCTGAGCAGAGTTTAGTCACTAGTGTTTAGTCCTCACTTGCCTCATTCGTTTCGTCCTCATTTACTTGGGAGCCAAGGCAGAATTCAGCTCCCAGAGACCATGCTCTAGTGTGCTAGGAGTCTGACCCCAGCCCCCCTGCGTCAAGTCTTGGGGTCCCCCACCCCATTATCTGGCCTCCAAGCCCTCCTCATGTATAGATTCAAAGTCTCATCTCTGCTCTCTAAACAGTCTTCTGGAACCAACATCCCTGTATCGTGTCATGGGAATCTAGCCATGGACTTGACTTTATGTAATTTTACACAATTTAAAGAGGCTATTTGTCCCATGAGCAGAAGTACATTGGACATGGACATCAGGGTTTTGGGGGTAGAGGAGCAAATGTCCCGTAAGCCCCTTCTGATGGGTGGCAGTGCAGGTAGTCAAGAAGCTCTGTTTAGCCCCACTATTGTCTGTGAACAGCTAAAGGACATAACGGCAGGAGACCATGAAGGGCCTGTGCCAGCAAGAGATTTGGGGCTGGTTCTGGTGGATGGGTAGCCCTTTCCAAAGTAAGTAGGAACAGCAGCCATTCGGTACATTCCTAGCATCTTTGCAAAAAAGTAGACTATCTGCTCAGTTCCTGGGTAGAGAGCTGCAGTGGTTCTGAGGAGCTTGTGCAAGTGTTGTTACCGATGCCATCTTTAATTTATTACAAAAGCCACTGGCAAGCTTTGCTCGCCCTGGACGCTTACACTGAGAAGGTCAGAGGTCAGCATGCTGGTGGTGCAGTGACAGAGGTATGCACACGCTGACTTGTTCCTTCTCCTCTTCCAGAGATCTACCGCATCGTTTCTCAGAAGCAAATGTCAGACAGACGTGAAAACGACATGTCTCCAAGCAACAACGTGGTTCCCATCCATGTCCCACCGACCACTGAAAACAAACCAAAGATGCAGTGCTGTCAGAATATATAAGAATTGTTTGTTCTTTCCTAAAAGGCTGTGTATATTCCCCAGGTCCAAGATTTAAATATATTTGTAATTCTTGTGGTTACTTTTTTTTTGTTGTGTTCAGTTACTTTTTCTTTATTCCTCCTGAATTTCTCCATGTCTTAAATGTGTTGATTTCAGTGTTTAAAAAAATCATCCGTTGCTTCAAGTGGCTGCAGCATTTTTTTACAATGCCAGTATGTAAGTCTTGGCTTAAAAATTGTTTGGAATAGATCACTTTTCCAACACGACGGCCACTGGTTGGAGTTTGAGTGTGTTATTTGGTAATCGGACTCGAAAAGGGTCATTCTTGTCCTTCCTAAATAATTGTTGGCACGTTAACCAAGTGAATATCTCTGGGCAGGACAAATGGCATAATTTTCCCTGCCTCAAGCTGCCGTCTTGCGTTCAAAGAAATGCCCATTGCTCCAACCTCAGTCATCGTGCTACATGGTTTGTTTAGTCCAATGTTATGGCTAAAAAACCCTGTCCAATAGGCAGCAGGCATTTGGCTATCTGCAAAGGCACTTGAGTTGCGGTGGCTTTGTGCAAATGAGGTCGTCAGGTTGGCAAATGCTGCTGTGAGACTGAAGCAGGAGAAAGTGGTAGAAGCCTATTCACGGTGCCTCTTCGAAAATACAAGACAAAGCAACATGAGCTCAACAGTCGAAGCGCTTCACTCTAGTATTGCGGTTTGCAGCAGCTGTGTTGCTTGCCCAGGAGCTGGCCTCCACAGTGGTAACGGTATCAGAATTTGGGAATACACTTTCCTTCTGCACTAGATACAACATCCCTCAAGGTTTCTATCGTGGACCCACGGTTTGATCCCAATGTTTGCAAACACGTGGTGCAAAGGGATTGCTGAGGCTTCCCTATTAGTATCTATTCTTTGCTCTGATTGTCTAGGATAGCTTCCTCACTGGGCACATTTTTTCACTAGACCACACTTCTCTACAAATAATTTGCCTAGACTGTTCAAGAATGTGTGAATTGTGCCTTCTGCCACTATATCTTGAAAGCGCTGCATAAATTAGTGTCTCATCCCAAAATTCTCCACAAAAATATCCAGGTGGTTTGGTTATTGGCACTTAAAACTCCTGCAGTGTTTAATAAAACGCTGCGTAAAGCAATAGGGGGAAATGACTGCGTGGGGAAGGGAGTTGCTCAGATGCTGATATAACCCACTTGGAACCTCTGTAAGGGCAGGCCCACGCTGCTGCACTTCTCTAGCCAACTCTCCTGTCTTGCGGTGCTCATGATGTGTAAGGCACACGGAAGGCATTGCTGTAGTCGGTCATTTGTTTTAAATCCATTTCTCCTTCTAATCTCTGGGTTTGGGAGATGTCACTTGATCTGTTTGTAAATTACTTTGTATTTTATGCATGTACTGTAACTTGATTTCGTTATTTCTTTTTTTTTTTTTTTTAGATTGATTTAAAATATATTCACTCATTATTCTAATAAAGAATACGGGGGACTATTTGCCATGTTGTTAGGTTCTCTTCTTTGGGAACTGGCTGCTTTTTGAAGGCTTCCGGGACTGGAGTGCAGGTGTTCACCAGATGTGGAAGTATTTGTAGTACAACACACTCCTAAAGCAACCAAGGAGGGGGTCACACGGCATCTCGCTCAACACAAGTAACGATCTAAATCCGCGTATGTGGTACACGTAGTCTGGTAGCTTCAAGAGGCTCTGGAGCTCTGAAGGCTGCTCCTGTCCTCTTCCTGCAGTGCATCCTCCAGTTTGCACCCTTTCGTCTGGCAGTGGCTGTGGAGCGGGTAAGACATGCTGCCATATTATGCTGTGATAGTATCCACCCTCCTGCTATAAAATGTCCTGGTCATTATGATGTCTGGCATACGACGCTCCCCAAATAAATCGCACACCTTGTACTGAGACAGCAGAATGGAGAGAGAGAGACTTATCCAGAGTCACGGTGGGAAGCTGACTGCATGGAGCAGCTCGCTCACTCTCAGCCAGCTCACTGGATGTTTCGGACAAAAGCTAGTTTTAATCTTCTCGGCAGCTACCAAATTGGCAGTGGCTGTGAGAGGGTTAAAACAACTGCCACGATGACTGCTGGTTGGAAAGAAGTAGAGCCCTGGAAAGAAGGTAGTCATGACTGTGTCTCTGTGCTTCTATTCTGGTGCAGACATCATTGTCTTTGCTTAAGACATGCACCCCAACCTTGGATGGCTAATTTTGAGGGGGCGGAGGAGTGTAGACGATACACAAGTAACTAGTGCTTCTGAGTAAGCTTCCAAAGACTGCAGATGCCTCTCAAGTGCTCTCAGTGATTCAGTAGGGGTCTTCCTTCTCAGCCGGGCATGAGCAGTATCGTAGCAGGATGTTGCTTCAGTCTTGGATTAGTCACTTGGCCGTGCAATTCCACAGCAAGGCAACTCTTACTTTCCCTGCCAGTAGGTAACTCAAGTACCTGAATGAGCTCTGCTAGACCCTCTTCACTGTGCACTGAATCACAAAATTGGCTGCACCTGCCCAAATCCTTCCCTCTCACTTGCCTACTATTTTGAAAGCCCAAACCTTACCAATACAAAAACCGTTTAGCAAGCATCATTAGTTTCTGCCTTCACTTGTGGTAAAGCTCTTGATTCTCATGCTGGACGGGCACAACATTTGTTCTTTTTTTAAAAAATGTTTTATTGAGCTAGAAGGACTTATTTCAAGTCCATCTCTCTCAAAACCTGATGTACTTCCAGAGTTAAATGGCTTACTGAGTGTGATGCCTCAAATAAGAGGATTACATGCCAGGCTTTGGTTAACAAGCTTTCCAGACAGAAGTACAAATATTGAAAAAGCATCAAAACAGAGCAGTTCATTGCATGGAGATATTAATTCTGTCACTGCTGGTGCTGTAAAACTGTGCTTATAATTTATAATTTATTGATTAGGTTTCCCAGGAGTGTATCTAAAAACTGCCAGCTAGCTAGCTGCACCAGCAATGTTCTTGCTGTTGCTGACTATAATAGGATGATCACTGAGGCCCTGATTCTGCAGGGTGGACTTGCCAAAATCAGTGGTGCTCTGCTTGGGTACAGCTGTTTGCCTTCACAATGTGTGCGGGGTTGCAGTGCTCTCGACACGGAAACCTAAGGGGGCCGGTGTTTGTATGGCCACTTCTTTACAAAATGCCCCTTGTTCTCATGTTCTTACAGGTGAATGTGAGCTTGCGGAGGGGAGGGGGGGTGTTGTTCTAGTATAATGCTTCAGGGTTTTTGTACATGTTTAATGATCATAGGTGAGTAAGAATTGCCTGGAAAAATGAGGAGGAGGTACTTACCCTGTCACTTACCGTCGGCTCCGGGATTGCTCTCTGAATGATTTCATCTGTTTCTCACTCGCTCCTTCTCAGAAATGTCGGAGTCCACTTTTGCTTTTCAGATGCTGGCAGCGTGTGTCCGGGGGCAGCTGGGCATGCACAAACGCTTTGCTAACCCGTCCTGTGGCACGGTGCTGTTTGTCTGTGAGGTTTTAGGCTGCGAATGAGCACGTTTGAGAAATGCACGTTGAGAGAAATTCAGTTTATTTTGTACAAGGTGGTTCCTTAGCACAGTGAACAAATATATTACAAATCTGTCTTGCTTTAAAAAAGTATTGCCATTTTGGTGTCTAAACTAATGCTAATATACAAGAATGGATTTGCTTTATTTTCTCCTGGTTAAGCTCTATGCACATCACTTCATTTGGTTTGGAAATCCAGCTTTTGAAAGTCGAGCATCTTTCTGCTCTCCAGAGTCTCGTCTCAAACTGAACAGAAATGCAAACACATACGTTGCTTAGGCTTGCAATGGAGACTGCTTGTGCTAGTGCTAGATCGATGATAGGTCTCTAGCAAGCCTGCCTTTAATTGAACTGCCTTTCATTGTTATTTCTGAGGTAAGTCTTTCTCTATGTGTAAGTAAAATATATCCCTACCTGGTCCTACAAAATAATTGTTGCATCTCGAATAAGGCTTCTCTGGAAAGTAAAATTAACTATTGCTGATCAATCATTTGCCCCCATGCATGCATGCAGCATTCATGTAAATAGTGATGCATTGTCCTGCAACATGAAAACCTGCTTCTCTCTCACTTCATGGGGGAAGATCTCTGGAGTTCATTGCCTGAACTGCAGAAGTTGTCGAATTGCACAAAGGGGTCTGGAACTTGTACCTGCCTCCACCCAGGAAAGCTTTCAATCTTTCATGCAGTCTCACCAGTGCTTCTCCCCGCCCTGTCGCAAGTAAATTCGATGCGTGGTGTTTGACTGAACCAACTCGCAGTCACAGAAACATAGCGTAGGCTGTGTCAGTGCAGAGTTGCTCACCCTGCCCATATGCCTCAACCCCAGCGATGAAGGGGGAGTCTCCACAGTGCATCCAGTTGCTGGCCTGCTGGCAAGCGCGTCCCAGGGTACCAGCTGATGGGACGATAAACCCCTGTTAGCAGGAACGAGACAGTGGCCACCACTGCTTTATTTCACATAAGCTGGTCATCAAATGGCAATGACTCCTTGCCAGAGCCAGATTCAAACCCCGGCTCTGGACCTTCCTCCTAGTCTTGTAGGCCATTGTTTCCTGCCTTGACAAACCAGTCCCAGCGCATTTTATTTCTCTTGCGTTTCCATCAGACTAGTGAATGCACAACAGACTTTTTTATATTTAAGAAGCAATCAACTTGCTACTCCTGCATTTGCCTAATAAAGTTACATATTTAGAATCAATACTACTTCATGCTCAAGATCTACAAGGAACTGCTTAACAGCAAGTATTCTAATCTCTATGTCGATTAAGGGTTACAAAAGATGGTCAGGGAGGCTTCTTCCAAAGCCATACCACAGGCTAACCACATGTTAATTATTCCACAAACAGCTGTTTAAGAAGGAAATCTAGTTACAGCTCAGTGTAATGATGTTTCAGATAGAATCACTGGAAGTTGCCCTACATGTTGATGCAGATTAAAAAGTTTACGGTTCTGTAGTCTAAATGGCATGCAATTAATTTAGCCCTGATGGAATGGTTTTGTAAAGGTGATTTAGCAAACCCCTTGTAGCTTTATACTGTCATGGGCGTGGACAAAAAAAAAAATATCTCAGATTTTTTTGAAATGTGGACAATATCTTAGATCCTCAGCTGCTGAGAACCTGCGTAGCTCCAGTGAAATCAATGGAAAGAGATGCCGTTTTGCACCTGTTTTATAATCTGGTCCAACATATCTAATAAAACAGTGGCCGTATAGGGGAAACTAAGACCTATCAAAGGATTGTACGGTGCCAGAATGCATACGTTGGACGTGAGACTCGCTGTAAATGGACTCCATCGTTACAGACCACTGGATATCTGTGAAGATGTCGCATCCTTAAAAGAAAAAAATGTGCATGAGGCACTGAGAGTAACCACAGGCTGTCTATACATAATAGTTCTCTACTAAGCTATCTTCGCAGCCAGTACAAACAGGACTATATTACAGAAGTAATTCCCCAGAATAAAAACATCTCGTATATGGAATGACTATGGTGATGGCATTAACCAAGGTTCAAAAACTATTCCAGCTGATTTAATCCACATTCTTTCCTAGCATCTTTGAGAGTGTGTCCTTTTCCAGGGCGAACATGTAAAATATATATTCCAGCATCTTTCTAGACATCTTGCTTCTAACAGTAAAGGTCTCTATGGAGGTGGCCAAAATGTACAGCTGAAGGTTTAAGTACTTTACAGCTCATGATTTTGTTTTATCTTACAGCAAAATCAAGTTAAAAATGCAGCGAATGTAGAGTTTTTGACTGGGCTATGTAAACAGCTTCCTTGGTTGATGATTCCAGTCATAGGTGGAGGGAGGCTCTTCAGTTGTCTGTGATCCATAGAAAAATGTCTGTTTAAATAATATCATGCAGCAGTAGTTGGCCCAAACGGATGTTCTGCTCAGGTTAGGTTCCTTGTGAAATGCTAGTTCAAGTCCCGTCAGCAACCGTGGAACAAAAAAGGATTGTCGTCTCGTCTGTCTCGGCGCCAACGTTTGCAGCACGTTGCGACAGCGACGCTTATCTCTTTAGGACTGCTTGTCCCAAGATGTCCCGTGTGTAGGGCTGTGTCTTACGGGAAGGAGGTCGTAGTGACTAGGAATGTGGCTGTTACGTGGCAGGTCGTACGGGTTCTGGATGTAACTAGCAGTACGGCCACGTGCGTCTTGAACCACGCTGACTGTGGGCTCTGAGGACACAATGAGAACCGGGTTACAGGAGCGACCAGGCTGCTGGTTCTGAGCAGTTATGTGCACAGGTGAGGTCAAAAACTTACAGATTTATCAGCTAGAGTTTTATAGTAAATACATGAGATTGCACTGGCCATCGGCCGGTCCCAGGAAAGGTACAAAAGGACACGGCAGCGTGTTGTATAAAGCCAGTTACCGGGAGACTAGGACTGTGCGAGATAATGGGAGGAAGGCTGGTTCCCAGAGCCTGGGATTTGAAACTCAAAAGCTGCAAACAGGAGTGTGGGAACCCGTGGGCTGAGATGAAATCTCTCTGCCCTGGGACAGTCCAGCTAGTCATGTCTTCTGCCCACGTCTAGCACAGGAGGCCCTCAGTACCTTGTTTCTGTTAATGCCTGGCCTGAGCTCCACAAGGGATGGGAAGCAGCAAGGTGAATTAGCCTGCATGGCTCCGGGCTGCTGGTAACGGGCTCATTTGGGTACTCAACCCACCTATGCTAAAACTAGCTCGTGGACTGCTGCTCTGGGACTGCTGTGTAGACGTCCCCTAAGCCCCAAGACAGCAAACCACCAGGCTCGCCGGGCCAGTCCCTAGCCCACGTGGTATGAGGTCTGCTACGTCCGAATTGCTTTTGCCAGTCGTGGCCACCTGACAGCATAAACCGCAGGACAGCCGCCAACCAGAGCAGCTGATCCTTGCAAAGCTAGTTCTGGCTTCTCTTCAAGTGCTGCCTCCCCTGGCTGAGACACTTACCAACTTCATATATATTTTTATTAGCCGTTGATGAGGTTGGCATGTCTGAATATGGAGACTCCCGGTGGACGGGTGATTTCATTTCGACATAACTACTCTCGGAGTGTTTGCATGTTAAGATGGGTGGATCCTTAATGGTGGCATAGGGGTTTTCGCTGCTGTTCAGGGAACACGTGCTAGAACTACACACGGATTCCTTCATATAGTCTGTAAGACAAGAACACAGGTGGTTGCTTACAAGGGTCACGCGCAGCGGCGGCGGTGCAGACAAGGGACAGAGGAACTTTAATCCTGTTAGCATCCAGCATAGAAACCTATTTGCAAACAATCCGCAATTCGGCACCCAGCATTTACCAGAAAAAGCCTGCTCGGGACTAAGGCTTTATCTGTGAAAGGGACTAAGTCATTGGTTACAGTATTTAATTTTGGGTGGCAACCTTCCTCAGGTAGGATTAATGCCAGCCTTTCCTTACAAGTCCCCGGGTTTGCTCTGAGCTTGCACTTGTTCTGCTAGACAAGCCCCTTGGCTTAGTTTTCTAGGTGCTTCAGCTGCCATCAAACGTGGTGTATTTTAGGGGGGGCGAGCAGGAGGGCTGCAGCAGGCCTAACACCACATCGAGGTGGCTAGCGGGTTCCCTGACAGATCTATTTTCAGGGGCTCTCCAGCACGGGCAGGCCTGGTTTCATCCTCAAATTCCTGTCTGATGTTAACCTCTGCGGAGCGATTCTTCAGCCTTTGCAGCAGGGGAAGCTCATCTTCTATGTCTTTCATCTGATGCCATAGAAACACCTACAGCTCATTGTGCATCATAGGAAAGGAATATGTTACATCATCATGCGGGCAAAAGGTGAAGAGGGGGAAAGGGGTGGCATGAGCTACGTGCACAAACTGGATCTGCCCCCTTGGGCACCTGGGGTGAAGATTTCGGCCCTTTCCAAATTACAGCCCCAGCCTCGCCTGCTGCAACATGGGAGAATGAGTGTGACCGTTGCCTGTCAGTAATGCTGGTGCGCAATGCCCCTGTTCAACACGGAGCCTGGAGACCGATGAAGCGTGCCTGGAGCAGCGGTGCCCTCGCAAGCTGCTTGAATTCCCCCCGGCCCCCGGCCTCTGCTACGAAAGGCAGAGAGCGAGCAAGGAGAAGAACCCACCAACAAAACTCTTCTTTCCTCTGAGCGATATTTCGTTGCTGCTGTTTCCCCCATCGCCACTGGGTGATTTGCAATGTTTCCACCAGTCTGTGGTTTAACGACCGCCACGTCGACTTTGGGAGGTGGTGCCAGGAGTTGCCATGTATGAGCAGTGCCAGCGCGGACTGCTAGGCTAATGCTGGCAGTGACTGGGCCGAGGGACAAAGGGCTGAGAGCTCCTGCCTCCTCCTCGAAGGCGGGGAGGACAGCCAGCACGTGCAGGATCAGTGCCTCGGTGAGGGGAGAAAGGGGTAAACCCTCTCCCCTCCCTCTTTCCTCCCAGAGCAGTCGCTTGGGGAAAGCCAAAGGCAGGGCCCCATCTCCCCTTCCTACAGGAAGCCCCCAGGAGGAAGTCTTCCCTTTGCCCAGACAGATGTGTGTGAGACGGATCGAGTGGTCCAGCCTGATGTGTGCCCTGCCCTGGGGTCCGTGGGCAACTGTGGGGTGATTCCCATTATGGAAGAGGTCTCCTGAGCTCTGCCGCTGGCTCAAGTGGCTCGGCTGACCTCAGCTGGCCCCTGCATGGGGGAGAAGAAGCTCTTGGTGCGATAGCCCTGGGCACGCAAGTCACGGGAGGCCTCTCCAGCTCTTGGGCCCGTGTTGTCGTGGGGCTAATGCTCAGCTCAGGCTCTGGAGAAGCTCAGGTGCATTCAGGGCATGTTGCCCAGCAGCATCTGCCTTCTTCTGCACTCTGGAGGGCTGGGGTGGAGCAAAGGCCACCTGCAAGAAATGAACTGCGGCCCTACCCCAAGGGACTGGCAGCCCATGCCAGGAGGCGCCTGGTAACTCCTCCTGCGTGCATGGCCAGGGCCTGTTGCATGGCGCCTGCCACAGCTCTCAGCCTGGCTGGTTGCTCCTTGCATGAGTACAACTCGTTACCGAGGACTAAGGAATGGTACGTAGCGACAGGAGCACAGTTAACTTGCAAAGCAGCTTGCGGCGGGGCTGAAGAGGGTCCGCTCCTGCCCAGTTTATGCACATAACCAACACGGAGAAAAAGCAGCGACTGTCACGCTGAAGCAGGGGGCAGGCTGGTGTCCTGGCAGGCAGCTAAGGACATCAGGCCCTCATCTGATACCTGCCAGAGCTGTGCCTGCGACAGGGCCCTGGGACATCAGTGCCACATTTACAATGGTAGGATTAGGACTCTGCTGTGGCTACAGCATGGCAGGGTGGGGCGGCTCGAGCCTGCCCTTGCTTGCACACCAGGTGATTAGGCTGTTACTGCTGTGGGAGCTGCGAATTACTGACCACGAGAAACACGACGCCCGCGTGACCCGCACTGAAACAGAAAGTGCCCCTCTGTCCTGAAGGACCTAACCCAAGAGCCCGTGGGACTCTTTCCACCTGCTTTGCTGGGTGATGACCGAGGGCCCCCAGAGCCAGCAACTTCAGGGGTTATCACTTGATCACCAGGGGGAAGAGCTAGACCAGGACTTCTCCAGTCAGCTTATGGAGGTGGTTAGGTCATGGGATGCTATTGCCATGGGTGACCTAAACTACCCAGACATTTGCTGGGAGGAGCAGACAGCCAGGTCTGACCACTCGCGTAGGTTCCTGGCTGTATTACAGGACCTTCACCTTATCCAGGAAGTGCACAGCCCCGCTAGGGGTAACGCCTTGCTGGACCTTGTCCTGGCCACGGGGGATGACCTGGTGAGGGGACTACAGGTCCTTGACCACCTAGTCAATAGCCATCATCACCTGTTGGATTTCATTACCCAACGCATGACGAACAGATCCAAGGAGGTGATACTTCCCCTCTATCAGGTGCTGGTCAGGCCGCAGTTGGAGTACTGCGTCCAATTTTGGGCGCCACACTTCAAGAGGGATGTGAATGGCCTGGAGAGGGTCCAGAGAAGGGCCACTCGTATGGTTGAGGGCTTGCAGGCCGAGCCCTATGGGGAGAGACTGGGGCACCTGGACCTCTTCAGCCTCCGCGGGGGAGGGTTGAGAGGCGACCTTGTGGCTGCCTGTGGGTTCATCGCGGGGGCACAGAAGGGAGTTGGTGAGGTTTTGTTCACCAAGGTGTCCCTGTGGGTTACAAGAGATAATGGCCACAAGCTGGCAGAGAGCAGATTTAGACTGGACATTAGGAAGAACTTCTTCACAGTTAGAGTGGCCGAAGTCTGAAATGGGCTCCCAGGGGAGGTGGTGCTCTCCCCTGCCCTGGGGGTCTTCAAGAGGAGGTTGGATATGCATCTAGCTGGGGTCATCTAGACCCAGCACTCTTTTCTGCCTATGCAGGTGGTCGGACTCGATGATCTATTGTGGTCCCTTCCGACCCTAGCATCTATGAATCATCTATGAATCACTGTATTTACAGAGTTAAAATAAAGGCCTGCCAGGCAGCACTGTGTCCGTGAGCCTCCCAGCAAGCTGCAGGACAATACGCATGGCTTCCTGCAAAGAAAAGGGATGGTATGAAATGGAAAACCCTTTGCTATATGTACAAAGCCTCATGCCACAGTCTCTTCCAAGGGCAAACCTCCCATTGACTCCACGGGCATTTTGTCCGATGGAGGGTTGGGAGGCCGACTCTGCGAGGGGCTGAGTGCTTTCTGTGTTCGTATTGGTGAGGAAATCGGTGCTCAGCACTTTAAGGCCTGCACTGAACGTCACGAAGCTCTCGTGCCGTGCTAGCAAACGCGGTCCCAGCTCACAGGCAGTGCGGGACGGCCTCCGGTGGCTAGTAAATATTCACCGCAAAGACTGTTCACTCAGCAAATAGCCCTCTGGGAGGAATTCCTGGATAGCGGGTAATAAAACGGCTATAAATTCTGTGGAAATAGAAACTCTAACCAGATAAAGGGGCCGGCTGGCCTAGCCCCATCCGTGTGCTGAAACACCAGATGCTGGAGAGGAAGGAGCAGGGTTAGTGGAGAGGCAGTTGTGGATAGGGCCCTGCAGCTTTGAGCAAGAAATGGAAAAACCATCTGCCTCAAAGCAAGCTGGACAGGTAACCGGGAGCTGTGAGCTCCCCGAGAGTCCCCCAGGCAGAGCTCCTCGCAGGCGGGCCCGAAGCTGAACAAGTCTGGCTCTTCAGGGCTGGGAGTGGGGAGACAGGAGCTAGAAGCCGGCTAGTTGTCTGCACCGGAGCACTGAACAGCCCTATTGCTTGAATGCAGGCACATCGGTTGTGCCCCCCGCTAAGTTCCCACCTCACAGTATACATGATTTAACCCAGCTCAGAGCTGCCCCCCAACCAAAACAGAGCTGCTGCAGGAGCCGCAGCCAAGGGGACAAGCAGGGCTTCCGCCAAGCTCTGTAAGCCACGACGACCGCCCAGGAGACCAGCAGAGCCATGCATGGCCATGCTGGGGAAGTGTCACTCAGGCCATCGGCATTCACTCTGAGCCTTCTGGGTGTTTGCCATTTGCAGGGGGAGGAGGGCCTGGAGAACCAGTACCCCAAAGGGCTGAGTCCTGCTGACGCTAATGGGAGGTGTGTGCCTGGGTAGCGGCTAAGACCCTGCGCCCTGAGCAGTATATCACTTACAGATCCAGCACACACTTGGTAAAAGGGATATATATGCCCGTGGCAGCCCGTCGCCAATGCACGAGCTCGCGGTCACGGTCGCTGCTAGGGGGAAGGGGACGGGTCCATGCTGCTTTGTTACTGAGCTCGCTTGGGGGCGAAAGGCTGACCCAAAGTGCTAAGTCCCTTACTGTTACACATTGCTTTGACCTTGTAATTCATTAACCACGTTACTTCGAAATTCTCAAAGAAACCCCCACACCTGTTCTGTGCACCAAGGGTAGGGGCTGTAATTTTCGGGACTCTAGACTATTTTTTCTTTGTATGGAGGAAGCTGGTAAGTGCACAGCTGACCTGCAGCTAGGGCCTTGAAAGCACAAGGTCTGTAGTTTATAGCCAAGTATAGTCAAATGATTTATTTGAAAGAAGGAGGAGGCTAGCACTTGGGAGATGATGACCCTCAGCATTTGAATGCCCTGCTCCCCAAGGGCCCTGCATGCTGCCTGGCCACAGCTGAGACTGAGTGATTTTGCTGCCAGAGCCTCCCTGGCGTGTCCGCCCTGCCCTTGTGTCACGCATCTGCTGAGCACACTCCGGCACCGCCATGACAAGCTGCTGCACACCTGCCTCCCGAGGGGTCGGGCACTCTTGCAGAGGCCAAACAGAGACAGGACTCGGCGAGCAGCAAGAAGCCAGCAAGGGAGAAGTGAGTCTAGCTCCCGCTGGACCAGAGAGAGCAGAAAGGCGCGCTGCAGGTGCAGGAAGGCTGCGGATGCTGAGGGACGGGCAGTGCTCCACTGGCCCAGTGACAAATAGGAAACTCCCAGGTGGTGGCAATGCAAACTGTGGCCATGCTCCTGCCCAGCCCACAAGGATGAGCAAATCCCAGTGGGAGCTGGCCCCAGACCCTGCTACCTGCCCTGAGCGCCGTCCAAGTAGGACCGGCTTTAGCAAGGGCTCAGAGCGAGGCCAGGAGAGCAGGAAGCGGCTGGGAGGATGGGAAAGGGCCCAACTAAACCCCTAACTGCGCCATTCTCACTCCCCCCAACCCCATCTGCAGCTTGGAGCTCGTCTGTTGACGAGCAGTAATTGGAAAACAGCAAAGCAGGGTGGTCTCCCCCCCAGTCAGAGCTCAGCGATACTGGCCCCAGGACAGAGCACCTGGCTCAGTTTCTGTTTGAAACCATTGCATAAAAGGATGCGGAAATATCCTTGGCAGCGGAGACTAGCCCTCAAGGCACCCATCTTCCCGGCTAGAGCCAGGAGTGTTTGCCTTCCTCCTGGTCCCATGTGTCTTGCACTCTCAGCTGGGGGGAAGGATGCACTCACCCCGACTAGCCTCTCCAAGCAGGTAGGTGTGGGTTGGCATCCCTCTTCCCAGGGCCCCATGCTGCAGGCAGGCCCACCACCAGCAGGCTCACTGAGCTGCACCGTGCTCTGAGCTCAGCAAGTGCTAGGCCGGCTCTGTGGGGTGCAGGAGAGTTCATGCAGGTGTTGTCTCCTTGCTGCTCAATCTGGAGCCCTTCAGGATGTGTTGGAGAGTGTCTAGGGCCAAAATGGAGGTGCCCCGTGCATGAAGGCACCTCAGGGGGGTCATGGTTGCTGCAGCTGTGCTAATCTGCATCGCTGTTGGTGATACAGGCTGCCTAGTTCCCCCCACACCTCTTCAGGCACCTACAGCTCTGATGGGGGTCTGCGCATCTGTGCCGCAAGTGCTGCCAGGCCGCCTCTAACGGTGAGGCTGGCACTGACAGGCTCTGAGCAGGACTGGTGTTGCTATGGGCTCAGGGAGCATAGAAAAGGACAGCCCACTTCTTATTTAGCAAACCCCCCCGTTCCCAGATCTCCGGCGGCCCGATCCCCACGGGGGTTCACTGCAGGACGCAGCCGGAGGAGAGGGACCAGAAGACGGCTCATTCTGCTTGAGTACTCACCCGCTTCGTGTCTACTCTGTACCATGGGGAGAGACCAGACACTGGGCTGGAGGGATCTGCAGTCTGACCCACCTTATGTTCATTAACTGGGCCTCAAAGACCTAATCAGGCAACCCCTGCACCTGGAGTCAGCCCACGGCAGGCAATGGGGCAGTTTGAAGACCTGAAGCCCTACAGAGGCCAGGGGCCTCCACTGAGATCCTCTGTTTCCCTCCTGACCTCTGTGTGCCCATGCAGCCGGCATGGACCGTAGGCTGCAGCTTGTTCCCACTGAGCACCCTGCATTTCTACTGTGACCTGAGGCTGGAGTGCAAGTCAAACTGTCCTGGGATCAACCTTGGCGTACGCACGTGACAACGTGGATACAGGCCAAGGCTTCCTGCTGCGGGACCCAGATGGCCGGGAGCGGGGAGCGTCTGTGATCTGAGTGACTCAGCTCTGAGGATCTGTTCTGTTTCTTGGGGGCAGGAGTTCAGTGGGGACTGCGAGGAGACCTTGCTGCAGAACCGAACACGACGGGCCTCTTGCACATGCTTTCTGCTAAAGTGCTTCCCTGGCTCACAAGCGGTATCAGTGACCTATAGTACTGGACACTCGCGCACTCTCTCTCTCACACACGCACACACAGCAGGTAAGCAGAGAGGATTCTAGATAGGACGCATATATTTAACAGGATGCATGTCATTTAAACTGCTGGTCCCTGCAGGAAGCTTCTTGGCCTGAATAGCTGATTTATGAATTGAATTACTGACAGCGTTTTAGGGGAAAAGGCACCACGAGGTCTGTGCCGGGATACAAAGCTTCACGTGCGGTAAATGGCGAAGGCTACCCTAGCAGGAGTGACTGCATGCCCCAAATGCAACCACAGATGCAATATTATACCCTGCATACATTGCTGTTGCAAGGGGGGAGAACTGTGAAGCTCACTGGGCTCTCGCTAGTCAAACCGACCAGTTCCATCTGTCCTCTGGAAAAAAAAGTTCTCCTGCAAAATCCCATCACATCCTCTCCCTGCATCTGTTCTGGATTTCCACTACCACTAGCTCCCGTGGCCAGCAAAGCAGCAGTGGAGGCTACAGCCACAGAAAGGGCCTGTACAAGAGAAGGGAAAGGCTCTGCAGCGGTCTGCAAACCACTGCAGCTGTTCCCAGAGACAATGCTCGGTACCACGGTGCTGTGCTTAGTGGAATCCACCTGGAAAACTTGCACAAAGCTGTTTTTAGAGCAGCCGTGAATGGGGCAGCTGCAGTGGCATCCTCATGGAGTTGGGACGACTGGTTTAAACAAGGGAAAAATAAAACTAAACCCCGCGTGTGTATTAAAGACAGAGAAGCGAGCGGTAGTTGGAGAAACAAACCCTGGGAGACTTGGGGGGAGATCAAATGCTGAACCCAGGGGCACGGCTGAACCCTGGAGAAGCCTGGACCAGGATGCGACCTGTGGGCCACACTGCCAAAGACTTCCTGTGCCTACAGATTTAGCAAGGCCCCTAATGGGACACTTTGCTTTGCCCAGCCATCCCACAAGCACCTGCAGGAGCCTAAATCATCTAGCACCTCAGGGCCTTAAATACCTTGGGTTTGTCCCCCCAGCCCATCTCTACTTAGGACTGAACTCCTTGACTGTGATCAAACCCCTTGGAAAATCCAGAGGCTCAGCTCTGAAGTCAGTAATGGATTATGTTATAACAGGGAATTGTTTTTCGGTGCCCACCTTGTCCGTGTGTCTTTCCCTTTTTTCTACATCTATATATGAGTCAGGCCTATGTGGCTGTACCTCCGGAGAGGCATGCTGTGGGTGCTTTAGCCTTATTTTCACTTTCTGGAGAATGAGGGTCTATTTTAATCCTCTTTTGTGTTGAATGTTTCTATGGTGGAAACCTCAAGTGATGAATGGAAAACAGTTGGCTTAATGCAAAGAGAAGACAAAAGGCTTTTGCTGACATGGGAGGTCAGTGGCTGGAAAACCCCTCCCGCCAAGAAGCAAAGAAAAGCATGAAACAGCCCAAATGTTCCTCTCCGTGTTTTTGTCATCTACGCATCATGGGTCATGGGGGCGCAATATTAGCCTTACTGAGGCAGGGCTGAGAGCGGGTAGAGGCTCTGTCACCACCGTGAACTAACCACGCTCAGACCCCCCCATGCTGCTCTGCGCAGGCTGATTGTAGGCAGGAGGCAGTGAGGCCGTGCTCAAATGATGCTCCAGGGGCACAGAGGCAGATGCACTGGCCCCATCACTCAGTGGGGCTAATTATTCTGCCTGAAGCCCCACCTGGATGCAGCTGCTCTGCTTCTGGTGTAGGAGGCAGCCTGTGTGGAAGAGCTCAGCCTGCCTGAGGACCCAGCTCCTGGGCATGGTAAGTGCCCAGTGCGGACAGGGTCTACTCCACTTCCCTGACCCCATCATTGCTATGGACATGGAGCGCCTTCATGCTGGTTGGCCATCTTTCATCAGATGAGTTAGACGGTGGGGTCCTGGGACCTCACTCCCCTGAACTAGTGGGTTTGTGGCACTAATTACCTAAGTAAGGACAAGCGGCCCAGCTTTGGATGGCAGAACAAAGGCGAATCAAATCTGCTCTCTAAGGAAGCCTTTCCCCAGTCAACATCTAGGGCCAAATTCTGGTGCAAATGCAACATCAGTTGAGGACCTGACCACAGAAACGTGCATCTTCTACATGGAAATGGGCTCCCTGTTCTGTTCAGAGTTGCCTCAACCCTGCTG